CCACTTCCCAAGAAGAGGCTGCAGGGGAGAAAAGCTTCAGAGTGTGTCCTCATATGGGCATAGCACAGGAGAAAACAGCTCCTGGTTGGGGAGCATTTAGGAAGAGGAGACAAATCCATCCCTTGATCCAATGAAAGATGTAGAAATAGATGAGAAAGACCTAAGACCAAGATCACCTCCAATGGGAGAGAAGAAATATCCACAGACAGCCACTAGGGCAGGTAAATATTAATACCATACAAATCTCCCTCCCAAAAGCTATAGTATATCATGAGCATCTAGTACTTATAGAAAACACTCCAGAAACAACTGAGACTTGTTCTCTAATACCTGGTAGAATACAAGTTTTAAATAGACAAGGTGACATTCAGAAAGTGGCTGTTCTAAACTTAAAAATAGAAGTTGAAACTCACTGCAGCTTAAATAGCATAATCTTCCCAAATTCCTATAGAATTCCAGGGGTCAGTAGCCTGATGCTGGCATGGCAGCTTCCTTCTCATCCAGGACCTAAGAGTGACTTCCATCTGAAGGTTTGTTTGTGATCTAAGACAGCTGTTGAGTTTTATGCTTAAAACATCAAAGGAGAAAAAGACAAGGGCCCATTTCTCTGTCCCCTCTCACAAAGTCTTCCAAGAAGTCCTGCCAATTTTCTCTTATCCCTTTGGCAACCTCTAGTTGATCACATACCTTAGATTCACAGACTTACTGTCTCCATCATACAAATATAAACTGTTAATGTAATCTGCTGAGGACTCATTTTGCTTGCTCTGAAATACAGCACATTTATATTAGGGATCCACAGCCAATTTGACTTGAAACAGTTAACTTTTAAAATTCAAGTTAAAATAATTAGTTCAATATAATTACCATAAATAAACAAATCTGGCATGAATAAAGATAAAGTTAATGTAAAATATATCTCTAAGGAAAGCCCTTTTTCTAAATACTTAAAAAATCCAGAAATATAAATTATTTTAAAAATTAAAGAGTTGCATTTGAATCAAGGTAAGTAATAATATTGTAATGGTAAAACTGATGGAAGTCTTTTTTATCTTTTGTTCACATATAAATTAATTGTGTGTAATATACTTTCACATGTAATTGCCCAATGTAAATATTAAAGATACCATACAGAAATACAGACTTTTTAAGAGACAAAATTTCACTTTTTCCAAATAGACAGTTTTAGTTGCTTTTAGTCATTGTCCCCTAACATATAATTTCATGGTTATTATATTCTAAAGTACAATCATATGTAAAATAACTGGACACTTAAAGCATGTATGACTTGGTTGCCCTTTTCTGGAAGAGCTGATTATTTTCCATGAGAATATTTTTTTCAAATGTTACACTGAAGACTATTGCTTTAGATAGCTAATAGGTAAATCAACTACCAGGAGAGAAGAATTGGAAATTAACTGAACATCTCTTTCCTACAACCTAGTCTTAAAATTCTTACGTAGATAGTGTCATCTGAAATCAGAATGAAATTTAAATTGTGAAAGTCTCTGAGATTCATGGATTATCTACAATTTTAATTTCATTTTTAGTACATATTAGTTGTACGAATTAATAGGTTTCACCTTGACATTATCATTCACACATGTATAGTACTTTAATCATGTCCACCCTCTTTCCACCCTCTCTTACCTCCCCCAACTATCTCATTCTCCCTCCAGTCCCTTTTCCCTCCCTAATAGTGTCTCTTCTAATTTCAAGTTATCTTTTGTTTTTTTTTATATAGTTTCCACATATGAGAAAAAACACACAATACTGTCTTTCTGTGTCTGGCTTATTTCATTTATCCTGATGTCCTCCATTTCCACTCATTTTCTTGCAAATGACATAATTTCATTCTTCTTTTGGCTAAATAAAATACATACTGTTTTTACTGTCCAGTTTATTTCTAAATCTAATTAATAATTTGAAAGATCTACCAACATTATTTCCTTAACATAAAAAGAAAGAGAAGCGGGCTTGGTGATACTCATCTGTCCCACCACTTAGGAGGCAGAGAAGAGGATTGTAAGTTCAAAAACATCCTGGGCTACATAGCAGCACCTATCTCAAAAAATTAAAAAGAAAGAAAAATAAAAAAGAAGACAAAAATCAAGCAATGTAGACAGTGCAAGGATGGCACTATGAAAATTAAATATTGCTGGGATAATAGGTTTAAAATATTTACAGTTATTCTCCAACGAATTTTCTATGTGATTATAGTCCAAAATGTCTCCTTAATGAAGTCAGGAAATACAAGAACTGAACAGCATTTTTAGATGAGGCTACTAGCATTCCCAATATCTGGGTATACAAACCTCACTTACTTTATTTAAGAATGGCCTTTCTCAATGGTAGAACATGATGATACAACTTGAATAAGGAACTCAAGTTATCACTATTTTGATTTACATGATGTTTCTTTGCAAAGCATCCTAAAAAATCACCACAAACGCGCAAGATTGTCTGGCCCAGAGATTACATGCCGACCATACCATGAAAAATGTGATTGCAGGTATAGCATGTGCTTGACAAGCCATGGAGCACCCGCTGGGCCTTGCTTCCTCCCCAGAAATTCCACCTGGGTTATAGTAAGGCATCCTTCCAAGGCAAAGAGTTCTTTTGGGCCACTAGAGAGTCAAGAGTTAGGGTTCCCTAAATCCATGTGTCCATGCAGACACAGCTGTGAGAAGGTATGAGTGGACACAGCTTGATATTTCCCCACAGGCTTGTTCTTTGGTATCCTTTAAGGCAACCCATTCCCACAACACAGTTTGCAGACTGCTACTCACTTTGACTTTACCATTGTTTTGGATGACAATATTTAGCTTCCCACAACTACTGGGAGCCCACTCTGGGCCTCTTTTAACCTTGGGTAATTTAAACCTATTTCCTTCCTTGCCTTCTTAAAAGGAGGCTTAATGGAATTTTGAATTTTTCCTATCTCAAAAATTCTCAAGGTTTTTGTCAAAAGAGATTTGAAATACCACATAAAATGATGTACTCACATCCCTCACCACCACCTCCAAATAACTGAATTACATAAATAAAACATTACATAAGAAGTGCTTTGCTGCAATTTATGGGAAGTAAATTTAACAAGAGGGCTTATTGTAGGAAAATTCAACTTATCTTTTCCTGATCCTTTTATTCTATACAGGGAGAAAAATTTATGTCAGTTAAAAAAAATCTATTACTGCTTCTCATAACTGAATCCATTATTTTTCTACATGATCCATCAGGCTAAAAACAAGAATAATAGATTGCTTTGACAGAACCTTGAACATAAAAGTCTCCAAGAATCAAATACAGTAAGTTAAATGAGTTTCAGGTAGTATTAAAACAGGAAAGGATAACCTTCTTTTTATATTTCAAAACCAGATCTTACTAAAAAAATTATTGTTGTCAGCTACTACCAAAAGGCAAATTATATAGTAGTTGAATTTTGCACAATGAAATGGGAATATTTCAGTTCATTTGTACATACATCCAAGCAGAATTCAACCTGAAGAAATGAGTTCAGGAAAAGGAACTATTTCCCTTTAATTTGTGTCAACTGGTTATTTGTAACCCACTCCTTGATTTCATTAGAAAAGATGATTTTAAATACTAATTGAACTTATGCTATAACCACTCAACTGATTAAAAATATTAATGTTGACCTTATCTTACAAGTATTTTTACTTCTACATGTGGTTCTATAATCCTTAGCTCCACATAACCCATTTTAGCTCAGGGTCTTCAAAACAATTTGTGTAAATATGCACACAGCTACTTGCCTAATATGAATATGGAGGTAGAAGGGAAAGATGGTAGGAAGGTACGTACATACATACAGATGTGCACAGATTAATTAATTTCAGGTGATTTCATTAATGGACAACCATTCAGCAACTAGTCTCTAATTTTATTCAGAAAAAACAACCTTCCAATTTGTCTATAGGAAAGGAAATCACATTCCCAGCTTCAGTGTCAGATCTTCTAAGGTAATCAACACACAACATTCATATTAAGTGTGTTACTAGTCCAGAGCTGAACATGTGACTCAAGTTTACCTGAGCAGAAAACATAAGGATGATTTTCTTGAGGCCTAAGGGAGAGGTTTCCCACTTCTCTTGCAGATAAAGTGAAGGGCACAGGAGTTCCAGTTGCTATTGACAGCCACATGTGAGCATGAAAATGAGGATAATGTGATGGAGTGTTGGAAAGGGCTCTGGTCTTGGGTGACATCATTGAACTGCTAATGGTATTGTGCCTGGAGTCCTCCTGACCTCTTCTCAGTCAAAACAGAATAAATATGTTTACTGCTTATTTCTAGATATGCTCTTCTCTTTAAAAAAATAAAGATGAATGTACTCAAATATCCTGTTTTCTCATAGCTTCTTCATTCATATTGTTGTGCATCAGATCTTTGAATATATATTTGCCTTTGAAACCACCTTGGAAAAGTCTTGCTATTCACCCAATGAAGCAGAGAATTTGATAAACTATTGCTTCAGAAGATGATAACATTGTTACCAAGGTTAATGAAAATTTAAGGTAGTAAAAACCTTCTTGTCCTACCAGAAAAAATTTCAATTCATAGCCAAGTTCAGAAATTATTCCTAGCCCCTAGATCTGAAACAGAGCTTGACCTGCTTTATACTCAATTTTAAACTGGCCTATGTGCCAGTTTTTAAAAATTATATAGAGGCCATAGCAATCCTACCCTTCTCCTCTTCTTTTGCTAAACTACTTTAATACCTACTTCTGAGACCTTGCAGCTATTAGGTGTTTCTCGCATGTTTCTATACATAATAACTCATCAGCTTTGCAACCTGATTCTTAACATTAAGAGATTAAAACTAATGTAGATGATTCTCAGATGACACATACTGAGGTATAGAAAAATTCCATCATTTCCTTCTACAAAATGAGAAAGATTTTAATTCTTTTTCTCAACAGCTGCTTCATTTCTTTATGCAGAGGGAAAAATATGTGCAATTACTTCAAGTACAATCAAGTCATTTAACATGGCTTTGCCATCATTGTAGTTACAAGATATTTTAAAAGAGGGAAAAAAATTTCAATGCACAGGTCCTGCTGTGCAGCAAAGCAATCAAATTCCTTCATAATAACAGCCTGATGGGATTCAGCAATCTGAGGAATAATGAATAACCACTCTAATCAGTAAACAGGAAAATGCTACAACAGTCACTGAGTAAAAATTGACTATCATCTGTTGATTCTCTTGATCGCTATTTCAGACAATAAATAGAAATGTAAGTATCACTTAAAAAGAAAAATAACCTCATTTGATGTGTTTGATTTTACCAGGCAGTGAGAAGACGACATATCATTTTAGACTGTCCTGCAGTATTTTCCAGTCAATAAAATGTACATATTGTCATTTTTAGCCATATTTACCCTACCATCTGAATGTGTCAAGATAAACTGATTTTGCAGTTGGTTGATAACATTGTATTTCTGGATTGATTATGCAATTTTTTCTTTTTACTTCATTATTTACTCGTTTTTCAGTGTTCATCTTATGAAGTTATTTGTATCCGAATATGAAGATTCTGTTTCAAAGTAGTCCTCAAGCTTCCAGTGCAGTGTCTCAAATGTTGGTCTTTCCTTCGGCTCTGCATTCCAGCATTCCAACATGATGTTGTAGAACTGCTGTGGACAGTTAGATGGCTGTGGGAGTCTATAGTTTTGACCCAACAACTGGATTACTTGAGCACCTGTCATACCTAAAAATACAGAAATGGAACAAATGAACAAACAAAGAACAAGTGGAAGATCAGAGTCTTTGACTTATGGGCACTAATAATCTAGTTTACAAAGCAAATTGATATCCTTGGCAAAGCAATGAGATCTACCATACCCTCCCCAGGTTACAGAGATTTAGCTAAATCCTGCAGCAAGTCATGTCTATAAGACAGTAATTCAAGAGTAAAGGAGAAGGAAGCAATAAACCACCTCATTAATGCAAATTAGCGTCATCAAATTTTATCTATGAAGCTCCCACAGACACACGGTATGGTCAGTCTCAGAAGTCTGCCTCCGAGTCTGGGCAAAGCAGTTAAAGTCACACCTAAGTAAGTGACCTGAAGCAGAAAGGCCCACTTCAGAATTAATTACTCACCACTGTAAGGCATTTTGCCATAGGTAATGATTTCATAAAGAAGGATTCCAAATGACCACACATCGGACTTAATGCTGAATTTATTAGTACGAATGGCTTCAGGCGCAGTCCACTTTACTGGCAGCTTTATTTCGTGTTTAGACTCATAGATGTCTTCATTGTCTACCTGTTAATGCATTAAGGATTCAAGCCAAGTGAAAGCGATTTTTTTTTCTTGCTTCTCTCATTCATTTATGATCTGTTTCACATTAAATTTTAGAGGAAAATATTCCAGATGAGCTTAGATCAAATGATAATTACAGTAGCAAATCCTAAATTGGACACACAAGGCTGAAAAATCTTGGGAAATCATTAATAAAACATTGAGAACCTACTACATGCTAAGAATAAAACTGGAAGAAGCACTCTACTACATATAGGAAAAATTCATTTATGAGTATTTTGGCTTTACATGTGGTCTTCAGCAAATTAGAAAAAAAAAAAGAAACCAAAGTCTATTTTTATTTACTGCTGGTATTGAAGAGCCACTGACTTTGATAATTGCCATGTAACTACTTGCTAATACTGAAAAGACGAATCCAAATGATTTAAATTAACACATCAACTCACTGGGGTTTTAATTAATTGACAAAAAAGAAGGATGATAAACGAGTTTATGAATATCAAAATGGAATCATTTGTTGCGTTTCATACCCCATGTCCATATTTTTAGGGTATAATGTGGAAATTTAAAATTAAATTCAGAGATAAATACCTCATATTATTGTCTTTTGGACTAATGTCATAAAATAGCATGGGGCTGGGGGATTTGCAAATCATTGGTTACTGAAGAATCTGGCAGCACATACATTAATCTGCAATAAGGTGAGCAAAAGCAGGTAGGATAACTGGAAAAGTATTCAGCTTTTGTAAGGAAAATACAGAAGGACAAATAAGAGCTACTGGTATTAATTTTAAAATAGACCATAAATCAACCACAAACTTAATTATGTATTTATCAATCTAGATGATCATTGTTTTCTCTGGTTATTTTTCCCTCCTTGATGAAGAAATAGGAATAGGCAAATGGTGTTTCTTTAAGGTCTTGCTTGGGTTACTTGAAGTGATCTCTGAACCACAGAACTTGGGAAAACATAGTTTTAAAGAATAATAATGAATCTATTGGTCCACTAGTCACTCATTTAAGCTATTCAAAAAGTAATTAAAACAAAATTAACTATACCTTAAAAACTCTTGCAAGTCCAAAATCCGCAACTTTATAGATATTATGTTCTCCAACTAGGACATTTCTGGCAGCTAAATCTCTGTGGATATAGTTCTGGGACTCCAGATAGGCCATTCCAGAGGCAACCTGTGCTGCCATATCTACCTGTTGAGTCAGATGGATTTTTGAACCAGCATCATCTAAGTAATAAGAGAAAACAAGAGATTTACTTTGCAAAATATTTGAATTACTGAAGTGAATTCTGGGGAGGTTTGTTGTTTGGTGGGCAGTACTGGGGTTTGAACTCAGGGCTTTGCACTTGCAAAGCAGACATCCTACCACAAGAGCCACACCTCTAGTCCATTTTGCTCTGGTAATTTTGGAGATGGGGGTCTTATAAACTATTGTCTCAGGGCTGTGCTTAAACCATGATCCTTCCAATCTCAGCCTTCCAAGTAACTAGGATTACAGGTGTAAGCCACAGGAGCCCTGCAAATTCTGGGAACTTTGATGAATGACACTGATCTGCTGAGAAAGGAGCAAAGGTATGACATGATTCAAGCACAGCTACAATTTTCTGAAAAAGTCCAGTAATTGCTGTTTTTCAGTATCACATATCACTAACTCATCCCTTCAGGGAAATTGTCAGTTTGGTGCTTCTGGATCTCTTTTAAACATTACATAGACTGTTTTATTCATTGGACCTATAATGTGGTCCATTCCACATGGCTAAGCCAACAGAAAGTTTTCATTCTTTCACCAGATTTTTCTTAAAAACTATCTCACTGCTAAAAATGAAGAATACATCAGTCATTATAAAATGTATTTATTGCATTTACACCAACAATCTTAAAACATTTTTATTTTCCTTTCTTAACCTGTTATTTTTATTTTATTTATTTATTTTAATCATATGTGCATACACAATGTTTGGGTCATTTCTCTCCCCCACCCCAGCCTCCTCTCTCTCCCCGCCACCCCCTCGCTACCCGGCAGAAACTATTTTGCCCTTATCTCTAATTTTGTTATGGAGAGAGTATAAACAATAATAGGAAGGACCAAGGGTTTTTGCTAGTTGAGATAAGGATAGCTATACAGGGAGTTGACTCACATTGCTTTCCTGTGCATTTTTGTTACCTTCTAGGTTAATTCTTCTTGATCTAATCTTTTCTCTAGTTCCTGGTCCCCTTCTCCTATTGGCCTCAGTTGCTTTAAAGTATCTGCTTTAGTTTCTCTGCGTTGAGGGCAGCACATGCTATCTGGTTTTTTAGGTGTCTTACCTATTCTCACCCCTCCCTTGTGTGCTCTCACTTTTGTGCTCAAAGTCCAATCCCCTTGTTGTGTTTGCCCTTGATCTAATGTCCACATATGAGGGAGAACATACGATTTTTGGTCTTTTGGGACAGGCTGACCTCACTCAGAATGATGTTCTCCAATTCCATCTATTTACCAGCGAATAATAACATTTCGTTCTTCTTCATGGCTGCATAGAATTCTATTGTGTATAGATACCACATTTTCTTGATCCATTCATCAGTGGTGGGGCATCTTGGCTGTTTCCATAACTTGGCTATTGTGAATAGTGCCGCAATAAACATGGGTGTGCAGGTGCCTCTGGAGTAACATGTGTCAGTCTTTTGGGTATATCCCCAAGAGTGGTATTGCTGGATCATATGGTAGATCAATGTTTAGCTTTTTAAGTAGCCTCCAAATTTTTTTTCCAGAATGGTTATACTAGTTTACATTCCCACCAGCAGTGTAAGAGGGTTCCTTTTTCCCCACATCCTCGCCAACACTTGTTGTTAGTGGGTGTTGCTAATAATGGCTATTCTAACAGGGGTGAGGTGGAATCTCAGTGTGGTTTTAATTTGCATTTCCTTTATTGCTAGAGGTGGTGAGCATTTTTTCATGTGTTTTTTGGTCATTTGAATTTCTTGAGAAATTTCTGTTTAGTTCACTTGCCCATTTCTTTATTGGTTCATTAATTTTGGGAGAATTTAGTTTTTTAAGTTCCCTATATATTCTGGCTATCAGTCCTTTGTATGATGTGTAGCTGGCAAATATTTTCTCCCAGTTTAGAGACCATTTCTTTTGTGGAGCAGAAGCTTTTCAGTTTTATGAAGTTCCATTTATCTATGCTATTTCTTAGTTGCTGTGCTGCTGGAGTTCCACTGAGAAAGTTCTTACTTACACCTATTAATTCTAGAGTATTTTCTACTCTTTCCTATATCAACTTTAGAGTTTGGGGTCTGATATTAAGATCCTTGATCCATTTTGAGTTAATATTGGTATAGGGTGATATACATGGATATAGTTTCAGTTTTTTGCAGACTGCTAACCAGTTTTTGTTGAAGAAGCTGTCTTTTCTCCATTGTATATTTTTAGCACCTTTGTCAAAGATAAATTGGTTATAGTTGTGTGGCTTCATATCCGGGTCCTCTATTCTGTTCCACTGGTCTTCATGTCTGTTTTTGTGCCAGTACCATGCTGTTTTTATTGTTATTGCTTTGTAATATAGTTTGAAGTCATGTATTGTGATACCTCCAGCATTGTTCTTTTGACTGAGTATTGCCTTTAACCTGTTATTTTTAGAACAGGTTGCTCATCTCTCTACCCATAGGCATGTCTTAAACAGGCGACCTTTCACTACTGCTTATTCTGTATAACTAAGTACAGGAATTTTATGTAGTAAAATCAGTTTGATCTTCAGTAGAAGGGGTCAGTCCTATTTTGTGGTGAATTTATGAAATGGAGTAAATCATCCCTGGGTAATATTATTCTTCTATAATGTCAATAGGTATCTTCAGATTTTTGGAGAATAAAAAAACTTTAACATAAGTCCAAGCTATTATTATTCCTATTTTAGAAGTCAAATATTATTACAATGTCTGTTGTTGGTCTTATGGTGCAGCATGAGGTTTTTCAAGACAGAAGTTACGACTTGAGGGGCAGCTATAGTAGTGGAGTTGTAATACTGATTGGAAGCCAGAGTTGAGATCAAGGCTATGCCTCATATTTTTTTGTGACCCTGGGCAAAATGCTTAATGCCCCCCATGCCTCTGTTTCTTCATCTGTATAGTGATAATGCTAACTAGGTTACAGTATTAGTTGTTAAGATGAAGTCCAAATGAATTAATACATAAAGCACTTAAAGCAATCCCTGGTACCTGGAAAGAATTCAATAGATCCTAGCTGTTAATATCCAAATTGAAACAGTTCAAGACTTGTTAAACTAGAGATGCATATGAAATATCCATGTGGAAACAACAAAAAGGCAAGCCTATAGATCTGGAGCTCACATGAGAGTATGCAGCTAAAGTTATAGATTTAATGATCATAGTTTAAGAGTGGGAGTTAAAACATTAAAATTAGAGTGGATTCCTAGGAAGTAACAAATTCATGAGAAGCACCAACATTTTGGGTAGGCAGAGGAAGATAGAACTACAAGAAAACTGAGAGCAATCTGCCAGAAAAATTAGTGAAGAGACTGTTTTAACAAATCAAATATTTTAAGAAAGAAAAAATTGCCAGAATTGTCAAATTCCACAAGTAAATTTAGTAAGATAAGACTAATAGGTATTCATTAAATATAATAAGGAGGGAATCATTGTTGACCATGGTGACAAGAAAAGAAGTTTTTTAATTATCATATTACTGTTGTCCTGGAGGTACATTGTGACATTTACAAAAATCCTTACAATATATCATAGTTAAATTCACCCCTCCAACAGTCTCCTTTATCTTCCCATTCTTAAAATAGTTTCACCATGTCTTATTTTTCCATTTTCATACATGAGTACATACTATTTCCACCATATTCCCCCTTCTACATCTTTTCCTTATATCCTCCCCCTTCCCACTGACACCAAACCCCAGACAGGACCTGTTTTAGTTTCCTGTCCTCTGTTTTTTAAAAGATATCTATACAGGGTAATTTTACTAAAGATGGTGTACAAAGGATTGAAAGCTAAACAGGAGTTGAGGTTACAGATGGCAAGAGGAGATGGCAAATTCCAAAACTCTCATCAAAAAGAGATGACAACATGGATCTGATAGAGGTATAATGTCAAAGGAAAGCAATAACCACAAAATGCAGGAGAGTGAAGATTTGTGACTGGTAAAGTATTCAGAGGGTTCTGGGGTGCTGGACCTGTTCCAATTCTTGGTTTGGGCAGTGCCTGCCCAGTTATATTCACTTTATAATTACATTTTAAACTATACTACATCGTGCATGTACTTCTTACATACATGCTCTTTTCCAATAACAAATGCAAGAGTTAAAGGAATTTTTAAATGAAAAAGTGTTCAGCACAGGTGTGTGTTTTTGTATGTGTGTGTGATTGTGTGTACACATATATATTTTTTAAGGTAAGCAGCATACTTAAGATGTGAGACAAAACTAAAAAACATTCATCAGTCCTTTTTGTTCTTTTTTTGGTGTGTGTATGGGTGGGGAGGGGTTACTGGAGATGGAACCCAGTCTTGAACATGCTAAGCCAGCAATTTTGTTTGTTTGTGACACTGGGGTTTGAACTCAGGGTTTCACGCCGGCTAGGCAGATGCTCTTACCACTTGATCCACTCTACCAGCCCTTTCTTTTGATGGGTTTTTTCAAGATAAGTGCCTGGTGCTGGTTTTGAACTGAGATCCACCTATCTCTGCCCCCGAGTAGCAAGGATTATAGGCATAAACCACCAGCACCAGCTTTTTACCACTTAGCTACAATCTCCAACCTTGGTTTTTTGAGACAGGGTCTTAACTCACTATTGTAGCTCAGGCTGACTTGAACTTGCTATGTAACCCAGACTGGTCTCAAACTCACACCACCATGCCCATCTTCCTTTTGTCCTTTACATCTTTTTGTCCTGGAACTCACAGAAAGCTACACTTCTCATCTCCCTTTATAGTTAAATCAGACCAGGTCATTAGTTATGAGCAATACAATGTATATAGAAATTAAATATATTACTTACATGCTTTGCCCTTAAAATCTACATATCTCTGTAACTAGAGGAATGAATTTCAAAATGGTAGAGCTGCCTGATGGAAAAAGTATAAATCCTCATAGAAAGCCACCTAAGAGCAGTCTAACCCATCTCAAAAATGATGACTCTTATGTGTTAAATCACAGAGTGTTCTAGATTGTATGTTATAGCAATTAACATTAATTATTTAGTCTAAAACAAGATGTAAGCATGAA